ATCATTAATTTATTCATAAAGTGATTTCTGAGCACCTACTATATGCTAGTATGTGTAGCAATTGAGAAATTAATAAAATATCTTCATATTCAGGATACTATTCATCGAATTGGGAAGCAGATATGCAAATAACTCCAATGGCAGGTTGTCAAGAGCTATGGGACTAGCAAATGATTCCATTGTTTTGGATGAGGCTGACTATGAGATTTGTGGTAATAACCATAATGCTCAATTTTCTGGCTGCTCTGCTCAGGCGAGCAGCTTAAAGACTCACTGTTAGCAATGTGTGCTTTTATTAAATAGGAATCCCGTAAGTACTCACTTGTAAAACAGCGTTTCCCAGAATCCATTGGCACAAACTGTTCAGCTCTTTGAAATACACATGAAACAGTTCCAAGCACAGTGGTAACACTGTTTTGGGATAAACCACATGACTCTGAATTAAGGGACTCAATAAAGTTATGGTTTTATAGCTCATTGAACATGTACATTATACTGTTAGTGTAGATCTGTATTCTGGAAAAATACTCATTGAAACTGTTAGAATGGTGAAACCACATAATCGTGAAAAAGTTGTCCTAATAGTGGCTGGCGTTGTTTATGTATCATAACAGTTGTAACTATGAACTCCATACTATTTAGGAGGTCATAGGTCTTGTCATGTTTGCAAATCTACACCTTGCAATGCTTTAGATAGGTGTTAGCTCATCCTTTAACACATTGAAAAGGAAACTGAACAAGCCTGTTTTTAATCTAAGACTCAAACCCTTTCCTGGCAGTCCAGTTTTGGCATGCCCAATGAGGCTTTACCCATTTTTCTAAATAATAGGAAGAAATACTCCTGTAGAACATATTTTTCATTTTTCTGACTCTTGTTTCCTTCCTTCCTTCCTTCCTTCCTTCCTTCCTTCCTTCCTTCCTTCCTTCCTTCCTTCCTTCCTTCCTTCCTTCCTTCCTTCCAGAAGAGTTGTTCCTGGTAAAGGAAATGGAAGCTAATAGTAATAATATTCCCCAAGGAGGATAATCCTTTTTAGGTGTAAGAGAATATTCACAGTGATGGAGTTCAGACCTTAGCGCCTACTTCGACACCAGCCCATACATGTGGTACCATGCTGATGGTTTAGCCCTCAGAGGTGTAGGAGATCTCTAAAAAGCAACAGTCACATCTTCCTTGATTAACTTGTAGATAACATTTGGAGGCCTCATTCTAAAAAGTCTTAGTCTCAGGGACTGTCTTTCTGGGATTTTGTTTTTGTATTTATTTATTTATTTATTTATGTATTTGTGGTGAAAGAGGTTGAATGGTTTATGAATGGTTAATGAAGTGTGTCCATGAGGCTGGAAAAGAGTATAAATTTATGTTTATACTGTATGTTAACTTATATTTTAAAATCATATGCTCAGTGTAATTTTTTAATCCTCCAGACACATTTTTAGGTAAAATACTTCTAAATATAAAACAATGTGTACAAATATTAATCTAAAGTATCACAAATATTTTCTCAGTGTTTCCAGATTAACCATTAACTATATTACTTTACATTTAGAGATCCTTCACCTGGAAATAATTATTGAACGTATTATTTTAAAATGTAACTTACATACTATTTAAAAATAAGTTTTCTCTACAAATATGAAATGTACACTTGAAACTGATATAATGTTATATGTCAGTTATATTTCAATAATAATATTTATTCCATGTTAGTTTCCTAATTTTCAGACAACTTATATTATTTGACTGTTTGCCAGGTTATCCTCTAATGGTAAAAAGTCTTGGGACAAAACATGCATTCTGAAGATATTAAAGTCAAAATTATTTAAAGGAATCTAAATGTCTCTTCTACATTATTCATTTAATTTATGTCTTTGTGTATCCTTGAGTGATACCAATGGCAAAGGTGAAGCAATAAGCATTGTTTCCAAATGTTTACCTTTTGATTCTGAAAATTATTATGCTGCTCTTTTGCCCTGATCACTTCTAACCTATATCAGGGCATGACTGTATCAATTGTCTAGTGGATTTAATGCCTTTTAGCTGTCTAGTATGACAGAGAATGGTTTAGCTATCATTCAGACAAGTCTTGTGCTGTGACACTTTGATTCAAAGAAAATTTGTAATGTTATTTAGGTAGCCACAAAAGACTTTTTTGTATTTTGGTTTCTCACCTCCTTACATTATCAATTTGCTTTTCTTCTACTTCTTGTAAAGACAATGAATTATCCACTATGTATGGAATAAATGTGAGTTATTTATGTAGGGCACAGTGCACTCTCAAATGACAGCTTATTGCAGCATTCCTCTTTCAACAACAAAACCCCACAGCCTACGCACCAACCTCAGCCATGAAAAGATCATATCATCCTTTCAACATTTAGCAATATCTATTACCTTCATTTGTCTTCAAATATTCCTTATCTTGAAAATGTACATCACCTCTCATACATACCTATTTTTTGTGATTCCCCCAAATATATAATATAAACCCTATTTATCAAGCAAAAATTGTCCATAGACCAGTTTTCCTTTTCATACTTCAAACATGCTTTCTACTATACCATATTACATATACACAATCTTTAGAAGTCAAATCTCTCACTCTACTTCTTTAGTGTTCTAGAAAATTCAGAGAGATACTTTGAGTGTGGTCAGTTTTCTCTGGGGAATGTTACAGACTATAGTAGAAGTTCACAGCTGTTCAGTGTTCTAGTCTCAGATAAAAGGTGATGTGGGAGGTTTGTACTGCTGGGCCCCTGGATGATTTTATGTCACCCTGACCCGGAGGGCAGGCAGTCTTTTTCTGTCTAACAGTCAAAGCTGTGACTGTTAGGAAAAAAATTTGTACAAAATTTTAATCCCTAAAGCTTTTCTGCTCCTAGATCCAGATTACCTCTTTGCTCATATCTATTATTAAATATTAAATAATATGTTAAATAGTATATTCATTTATCAAATAGCTCTTTGAAATCTTCTCCACAAAGGAAGACATCCTTGGCCATTCTAAACAAACTCAGTACCACATGCCTAATAACCTAATTGTAATCTGTTTATCTGTGACATTTAAACAAGGAGCATATTTTTGTAATATACTTGAAAGTTATTATTTGAATTTAAAATATTGGAGTATATTTTATTACACCTGATACAGTGTCAGATCTACGGGCTCAAAGGTTTTAGGGCATCCCAGGGAGCAAGTCAGGGAGGTTTATTTTGGGGCCCTGGCTGAGAACTCAGACTATCAGCAGGAGTTCATTTATCCATGCATTTATTCCCTGGTTATTTATTGATCACCTCTCGTGCTCAACATACTGTTAAGTATGTAATAAGATTCAGAGTTGGATATGATGACTGGCTTATGTTTTTAAAAAATCACCTTGGCAGAGCTGTGGAGGATGGAGTACAGGGTGGAGAGACATAGGCAGGGGAAGCGGACAGAAAATATTGCAGTATCCAGGGGAAGATGCTGACGAGACGCGAGGGCAGTGGGACAGAACAGAGGGAACTCATCAGACCCAATGTGGTGGTTAAGCCTCCACGGGTTTTATCCCTTTAATAATCAAATGCAAACCTTTCATCTTCTCCACAGAGACAAAAATGCACATGGGTGTGTGTATATAAAAACAGTTGCATTGGGCCCATCTTCATGGTTCTCTTCAGAAAGGTGGGGCACAGGTCTAGGGCCCTACAATTTGTCCCTTGAAATTATAACCTAATGTACAGTTGCAAACAAAAGTTATCTTTCATTAAAAAATAAACAACTGGTAGACATCATCAGCGCCTCAGAAATGAAACTATAAATGTACCTTAGGCTATAGAAAGAGATTTAGAGAAGTATGTCCTCTTTCATTTGTTTCGCCTCCAGGAAAAAACTAACTGCTTGGGAAAGAAGTGATATCAAATTGGCAATAGCTAGGCTGATTTAAAAAATTAGGATTTTTTTTTCAGGCTAGGAAAAAAAAGGAGTATGATTGAAGACCTTAAAATTTTGTAGCATATGAATAGGACAAAACATAAGAGAAAACCTTCAGAATTCTAAAGAGGCAAATAAAATATAATAAATAAAAAGAATCACTTTTTCATGTGGTAGTCACATCATAGAAATCATTGCCATGGTACGTGGTACACACCTCTAAACTAAAACGATTCAAACAGGATTTCAGAAAGTTCATGTTTAATAGAGCTATAGTAAAAGTTAAGAGAAAATACATCGTTTGAGGAATAAAATGCATTCATAATTTTTAAACTAGAAGTTAATGAATTTGAACAAAATCATCCATGAGTTTGACCTAAGGTGGTGGCCATCACACCATTTTGTTCACAAATGAAAAATAAAAACTCAAATTCAAATCAAGCTAACAATAAAATGTTATTTAAAATTTTTTCTAGTTCTATCTTTTTCTGCAAAAATTGCAATTTACCAATTGCAATACCAAATAGGACCTCCTGAATTTACTTGGTCAATTCAGTGCTCACCCTAAGCTCTTTCAGAGAGAGAGTTGTCTAAACTTACACCATCTCCATAGCAATATGTTCTCTCCACTTTTTCAATGTGCAGATCATTATTTTCAAATTGAACCTCCTATCTGTAATTGTAATTTACTTTTTTATTCTGATCAATTTCAAACCATATCAAATTGCAGAAATAACTCAAGGAACACCCATACACCCCCCTCAACTAACTTTACTAAATATTATTTTTTCTGTATTTGCATTAGCTCTCCTACTCTCTAAAGTATATAAAGTATTAATTTTTTACATATTTGTGTTCATTTATAGATCATTAATATACACTCATGCTGTAGTACTTGAGAATTATTGCAGAATTCAAGACACTTCTCCCCTAAATACTTCAGGATGGATATTCGAAGAACCAGAATTATTTTCTGCAAAATACCAAGGAGTACTGATAGAGCGCGATTGATAAGGATACTGTTATATAACAAGTACTGTACTCATATATCCCCATTGTCCCAACAACATCATTTATAGTCACTTTCTTATTTTTTTCAAACCGAGATCGAGGTCGGCATTAACTACACTCTGTTAGTTGTCATCTCTGTTTAGTTTCCTTTAAATTTGATGAGTTTCCAGCTTTTTTAAAAAATAGTGGTGTTCTCCATAATGTTGATATTTTCGAAAAGTTCAGTGTAGTTGTTTTTCAAAATGTCCTTCATTTTAGATTTGTTTGACTGTTTCCTCATGATTAAATTGAGATTAAGCATTTTGGGCAGGACATCTACATAAGTAAAGCTTTGTCCTTCCCAGTGTCCTTCTAAGGAAACATAGGTTGTAAATGTGTTCTCTTACTGGTGATGTTAAGAAAAAGGTACTATCTGCATGATTTTTCTAGTGTAAAGCAAAATTTTTCCCTTATAAGTTCAAATATAATCCGCATATAAATAGGACAATGATGCCTTGAGACTGTGTGGTTTTCCTGTCCCCTGACTTTTTGCCTGGTGGTTTTAGTATACATTGATGATTACATCTGAATTGGTTATTATTATGTGGTTGTAAAAGTATGGTTTTCTATTTCTATCATTACTTTTACATTTATTAGTTGATTTGCTTTGTGTTTCCTTCTCCTCCCTCTCCCCTTAAAAAATTTTAGAATCTCTATGTATTTATGAATACACTTTTCAATTCAATGTTATTACAGTCTCTTTCTTTCATTATCTACTTGATGCCACAGTTGTACCAAATGTGACCAGTGGAAGCCTTTCATAGTTGGTTTCTGTTTCTTTGTGATGTGTCCTCACCAGTGTGTGCACGTTCTCTATAGCACATCCAGATACTTCAGGCTTAACTCGTAATTTTCTGTCCCTGGAGGCCTTGTTTTAAAACCCAGATCTGGACACTAGGTTTGCTCAACGCTGCCAGAGTGTCATCTTTTCTAGGCCTTTTCAGTGAATAATAAAAAATACACACATACACATACACCTACATATACATATGCATGTACCTATGTGTGTACAGTATGGTTAGAGCTATATAATAGAATACCTCAGTGCTGCTACCATCAATTTCATTCGAGCATCATTCTTTCCTCCTACCACTCCATATTTGGATTTCTCTTCTCTCAAGTTAGAATCCTCATGCTTCACAATATCAGTCAATTTACAGGGTAAGGCAAGAGTTGGTTTACAGTTGTAAGTATGGGAAACACAAAGCTTTTTCTTGTATTATAATTTATTATTGTATTACTTTCCATATGAATAACTGTAAACCTACTTTTGTTCCACCCTGTATTTACTTAATTCCTCAGTCCTACGATATACACAAAATAGTTTTAGACCTACCACACCAATACTGCTACCAAGAACAAATTCACTGTGTCAGGTTCAAGATTTCCTACAATTCTTTTTGTCTTTAGAATATATGTCCCTGTATAGTCAGAATATTTGTGAAGAACAGCTACCATGTGGATTTTTTCCCTTTTATTATCAGCTTGGCATAGCTTTGCTTTTTTAAAAATATAATTGGTTGAAGAATTTATTTTCCAATGTTAATTTAATTTTGAGTATGCAAAAACTGTTTTTAACTGCTAAAAATCTCAATGTTACATTACTAACAATATGCCAAATTCAGTGTCATCATAATATGCAAGATCTGTTTAGAAATTAAAGGAGGGAAAACATAAATATTTTTCCTCGGCCCCAGCCAGTGTGACTCAGTTGGTTTGGTTGGACATCATCCCACAAACTGAAAAGTCCCCAGTTGATTCCTGGTCAAGAGACATGCCTGGGTTGGAGGTTCTGGCTCCAGTAGGTGTGTATATGGAAGGCAACCAGTTGGTGTTTGTCTTTCACATAGATGTTACTCTCCTTCTCTTTCTGCATCCTTGTCCCCTCTCTCTAAAAAATAAAATTAAATAAAAAATAAAATTAAAACAAATTTTTTCCTTGTACTAATAAAGATTTAAATTTTTATTACTACTCCAAGTTCAGGATCAAGGAAAGTTTTTTCAAGCATCCTAACACTGCAAGGCAGTGTAGAGCAGGATATAACAAATTGTCAATGGAATTAGATTGCCTAAGGTTAAACCCTGCTCCCCACTCCACCTACAAGTTACAACCAGGTCCAGTTTGTTATTTTTTTACCCTCTTGTCTTCCTCATGTGTGAACTCTGGATACTGCAAAGTTTAACATAAACTTAACATAACTATTCATCAGGCACTGAGCTCAGTGCCTGATGAATAGTAAGTGCACCATGAATATTACCTGTGATTTTGGGCGGCGCTGGTGGTGATGCCGGTGGTTTTAACAGTACATTCTGGATATCCAGAGTTCCTAATTTTAAATACTTATTTTTTTTAGTAACAGGGCTTTGTGTGTGTGGGGCAGGGGGTAAGGGGGATTGTTTTTGTTTTGTATTTTATTTTTTTCTCTTAGTATTGTTGATATACAAGGAAAAGTTATGGCTTAGCTGGAAGTTCTTGCATCAGGAATGACCTTGTCCTTGTTTTGAAGTAACTGAAAAATAAAAATAAAAATTCCTCCCATAAAACCCTGTCACTGCTGCTGGTCTCAGGGCTGGCTGTCCATCGGGACGCCAAGCATGACGGCTGCTGTAATCACCAGGGCATCTTCCCGAGATCTCCAGGCTGAAACTAGGTAGGAACGTCTGTATTGTATCTAATAATAGCTCTGGAAATTTTCCTGAAATGCTTGCCGGCACCTCCCAGGCCTGACAGGCACAGCACACTGTAACAAATAGTATGCTGTTCTTATTCTTGCTAGTGAGTATGTGACAGTGCTAACCAAAATGCTAGCTAGAAATATTTGCTACGACTTTTTAAAGTTTTCATTCGTACCCTTGACTGGCTTCTGCCAAGAGTGGCTAGATATATTTATATAGACATCCTGTATTTTAATTCACAACTTCTTATAAACTATGAATTCATAGAAACTATTGATTTCAGCAGTGAAGGGTTTGGACAGGAGAAAAATTATATGTGATACTATTACCCTTTCATTACCTATAGGAATTGCTTTCAAGACAGTGCACAATCATGATGCCTTTGCGTTCAGGTAGAGGGTTTGATGAAGAACAGGCGATGGGCATGGGAAGCTCTGACTTCTGTCTGTGTGCACTGAAGTCACCTGAGGATGGGGCCGGAGCCAAAGCATATATACATGTTCCAGGGACTGGGAAGCTGTTCCTGACAGAAAGGTTAAAGTGGGTGAGAAAAGACTGAGCAGGGAGGTCATGATTTTCTCTTGCAACAGAGACTTACTCTGAGTTCAATGGAGCTTAAATTAAAGGGCCCTCCACTTGCATGGGCCCTTCCAAGGCCTTGGGAGGGTCTGACCAGTGTGTTCGGGTATGTTTTTGTAATATTTGCTGAAGTAAGGTATTTTAACCATGACTGGTAAAAAGCACTGTTTCCTCCTATTCCAACTTTCCCTCCGTCTCACTTTTCCTCACTTTGAGTGGGATTAGATGTAGCTTTGGGCATAGAGGACAAAGGGTTGGAGATGTATTTACTCTGAGTTTAGTGGGCTCTGCAATGGCTTCTATGTATAAATAAGTTATTGCCAAGCATCCCAGAGAGGGAAAGACTTCCGAGTCTTTTTGAATACTCAGCTGACTCACCAAGTAGGACCATAGACCATGCTGTGTTATGAATGTGTCCTACAGTAACCAACCCTGGAAGGAGATAGGCAGCAAGAGAGAAAAGCAATTGAAATATACAGAACCAGAAGCTAATCTGTGTGAAATTCCTTTCAGTCACCAGACATGTAAACTTGTAACTGGATGATTTAGTTCTAATTGATCTCTAGTCACAAGTTGCCTATCAAAAATATACTAGATGATATAGTGGTGTGTAGAGTTATAAATGCATCATACATTTTTTTCCTTTTTAAACAGAAATTGCTTAAAATAGAACTTACCAAAATTGCCAAATAAGAAACAAACCATAGTAAACCTACAGGTATAAGTATATTTGTGTATTAAGTCACAAGTTTTTAAGCACTGCAACTTGCAAAAATTAAAGGGCACTCTGGTCAACCCTTCCTAAAGGAAAGACTGAGCTATCTTTCCGATCTTTCTATAGAATAATGTCACAAAACCATTATTATATGAAAAGTGATCAAAGAGAAGGCAACCAAAAATGTAGGAATATATTAATAAAAATATATTCTTATGTTTTCTGATTTCTACTGTATTTTCATTTCTACTTTTTCTACATTTGTAATTTACAGTGATTTTTTTTCACCCTACATAAATTTTCACTTTCTTGTCTAATGCTGTATTTGTAAGTAGTTTCATTTTCTAAAAGTCAGCTTCCTCCCAAATATTTAGACTCCAGGTCCCACAAAATCTGGATCTGCCCAATCCTCTAATAACATATAAGGCTTGTGCACAGTGTAGTCTTGTAGATAGTCACTCATTCATATGCTTGAGGTAATCAATGAGTTATGTTACAGTAAAGATTATATTATATACATTTAACCTGATAGATTTTGTAACAAGATGGCAACTTTTGCTCTAAGAAATAAAATTTCAGAAGCTGGTTGGCAGTTCTTTGTACCTCATCTGTATTTTGAGTGTGTTCCGAGTATTCTGGTTAAGAATCTCTCCTGGGTGAGACAAATTAGTTTAAATGGTAGAAAGAACCACTTTCCGCAATAAGAAATGAGGGTCTTCAGAAAAATGTCTACCTCTAGAACGGGGGCAGGAAATGTACAAGAGCCTGGAATATACTAGAAAGCAAAGAAGGTGTCAAAAATCACTGTGTCAAAAAGATGCATGAGTCAATTTGAAAGAACTATTGAAACACATAAAGTGTATTAAAATCTATTATTGCAAAATGATAGGAAAAATAAAAACCAAAAACCTCTTTGACCACTTTTGAAGGATATAAGGGCATAAATTCATTCTAAAAAATTGGTTGAGAAAGATAAAGAAATAAACATTTATTATACCTTTCCTGAAAAACTGTAACTTACGTTAACCAAATAGTTGATAAGAAAAATGTCTGCTTTATAAAAAATATTCCAGCTAATAAATACAGGAGGAGTGAGAGGCCTAAGCCATCACTCTTTTGCAGCTGTTGCTGACACACTGAATCTAGGAAATTACCACTGATGCTTCCCAAACCATTTGGTGAAAAGTTGATGTGGGGTCTTTTTAAGAGGTGCGTTAGACTGGGAACACCAAAGCCCACTAATTACAAAAATGGAGACAATAGATGTTATATACCTTCTAATGTGATGCAGTAGCGGTGCACAATCCCACCCATGATGTACACTGGTCTAAAAGTAGAACATGCATCTGTTCTAACCTGTATGTCTGTCAATTTTTTAAAAATACAGAAGATAGGGAAATATGATACCTGGAATCCAATCAGCAAAATCCATAATATAAAATATTCTATAGGACAAATGACTCAATTTCTTCTGGTAATAAATGGCATGGAGAAAATAGGTAGGGAGACTATAAAAATTAAATTGAAATATTAAGATAAATTAATATTTAAGAGACATTTTATCCAAATGTACTATGTGGGTTCGGATTCTTGATTTGAACAAAGCAACTTTGTAAAAGACGGCTTTGAGGAAAGTGGGAAAAGTTGAATATGGACAGAGCATTAGATGATATTAAGAAATTACTGATAATTTTAAAGTATGATAATGGTATTATAATGTGTTAGAATGATTTTATCTCTGAGAGATGCAAAATGATATATAGTACTTACAAATAAAATGAATTAATTTCTGATATTTGTTTAAAATAACCTGGGAAGAAAAAATTGGGGAGTGCAATGAAATAAGGTTAGCATATGTTAATAATAGTTATTAAATTTGGCTGATGGGAACACAGGGATCATTATGTTATTGCAACTACTTTTAGATAACTCTAAAGTTTTTCTTAATGGTAGGCAAAGTACACAGAGAGTAAATGTGAGGAGCACATCCTGAGAGATTTTATACCTTTACTACTCTTGTTACTATTTGTTTTTGAAAATGAAAAGGAATTGACCATCAGAAACATCCAATCATGGCATCTGTGAAATATTAAGTACGAATGTTATTTATAGGTAGTGGTGTGCTGGTAAATGACTCGCTTTGTAATGCTTGCCTATTTGCACAGTATAAATACTCCACGATGGCTGATTCCAACCTATTGATGTGACATTATTGAATGCGGAGTTGGGGAGAGATGGGCCCCGTCAGCTCTTGCGAGCCTGTCCAGCCAGCTGCAGCCCACTGCTGGGAGGGGTAACAGACACACATTAGTTTTTGGAGTCAGGCTCCTGGTAAGATCCCAGCTCTAATGTGCACTCCATGTCCTTGACCAATTTACTTAGTTTTTCTGAGCCTTAGTTAGTAAAGTGAAGATAATCATTCCTACTATTGTACCTTAAGAGGTAAGAATTAAATGAGATCATACATGTAATGGACCTTCTAGGTTCCAATTACATAACGAGTGATCCTTCATGCTAACATCCTTTCTTCAAGTTAAAAATAGAAAAGAGAACTCTTGGTTTGGGGTAGTTTCACAGTTTTCAAAGAAAAGAATGAAGCTGATCATCCTTTTAGAGGGCTTCCTGCCTAGAGTTTCTATAATTAGTTAAAATTGTAGGTTTCAGACACAGTCACAAATCTGCCAGAAGCTCCCCAAGCTCTCATTGGCGGGCTATTAATAGGTAGGCTGGGAAGTGATATGAATGTGGCTATAATGGAACTATCCATTAAAGGTAGGGTTTCCATCCAATGTGATCTGGCACTGCAAATACACGGTAAGAATTAAGTACTATCTTAGAGATGACCTGGTAAAACACCTGTAACTTACGTAATCTTCCCCTAGGGAATGTTAAGACCCAGATGAAATGTATAACCCTAAAGA